CACCATCCAGCAACAACACCACTTCCAACACCAAACCCACCACCACCTCTGCTGCTAATGCAATTACAATCCAGCAATCAATGATGCAAGGTAAAAGCACCAGATAAGTTTTCTTCTTTCTTTTGGTTTAATACTTACCTGAGAAAAGAATATGTGCTTCAAACATGAAACACGTAGAGTACTTAATACTTGTTCTTCTATTCTTCCTTCCTCGCCTCTAGCTTTGCTGATCACTGTGGGCATCCTGACTCTGAGCTGGCTATAAGGAAACTGAAACCTGCCCTACATAACAGATTAAAACTTCCCTATCCAACCATGCCCAACCATGCTACTATTTTTAAACTCACAGGTTTACTATCAACAGTATGTCCCAGACTCCTATGATTAATTTTGTGGGAAAAGGTCACATTACAAATCAGGACTGGTGGAGGGCAATCACTTTCGAGAAGCTTTTTTTATACTGATTTTACATGCAGTTAGAGATTTGTTTGGAATCGTTTGCAGAACTCTTTAAAACGGTGTGGTAAGATGGGGCACAACTGAATTATTAAGAGTAACCGAACACATAGTTTGAATTAAGTGAACCAGAATCACGGCTTTTACCAGTGTGTGCAATTTATGCAAATTTTGGGTAAAGGGTCTGGTACCCTTTAAAGCCCACATTTTTATTGCTAAGCAAAAACATTCGGTAAGTTTATGGTTACTTTGATTATTAAACTGCTAAACCGTGTAAACAGAAACTGCTGGTAAACCATTGTTTGCCTTTGTCTACCCTTAGAACACCAAAAGCAAAATTCATTTGCTGATGATGACAATGATGCCAGCAAATGGCAGAGGTGCATTTAAAAACAATTATGTTCTGATAGTATATTTCTATTATATGTTGTTTATATGAATGCTGTTTGTTCAGCAGTACCTTTACAATGATGCCTTCAGTGGCTGATGTTCACATGTGTTGCTTGCTTTTTAGCAGGTGTTCACAAATAATGCTATATGTGGTACTACTGAAGGTGCTCGTGTAATGATTTTGTATTACATGTTTATAATTAAATATTTATCAAAAAAATATTTTGTGTGTTTTCTGATGGATGTTGCTAGATTTGAATTGGAACTTTTAACATTTAGTCAATTTTGGGTGTTCTCAAATGAAATTACTTAAAACTACAATATTTTATAACAATATTTTATATTAATATAACAGCCAGAGTTTCAGGTGGGTTCATTGTGAAACCTGAAACTCTGGCTGATTGGGGGCCGCACCCAATTTCACACCTTGGCTCAGGTGATTAGAGGATCATCAGGGGGTCCTTTTGTCCCTCTGTGGGGGGTTACTCCCACTAGGTTTTATCTGGGACTCTCCACCATTTGACCTTAGAACTGAAGAAGCTTCTCGGATGAGAGGTGAAACGTCTTCAAGCAACTTAAAGAAGTCCAGACGCTTTTCTTTGCAAGCTCCTTTGACTACGATGACCTGGATGACTGAGAACCTTCACAGACATAGAGATCCTGAGACCACCACCTTGAATGCAACTAAAAATTCTGTCCATAAATATAATGAACAAAATCTGTGACAAAGGGCAGCTTTGTAGTCCAACAGCAAACAAGTGCATACAAACATGTATGACATGTCAACTGATCCAACATCTCTATATTTTGATTACTTTGAGCTTGGGAAGATCCTCATCCAGATGATTATTACAGCAGTGGAGTCATTCTTCTTCAGCGTGACCTAAAGAGCGTTCATTTCCACCTTGAATCCTATGTGTGTGTGTTTTTTTTATTTAAGACCCATGTCAAACATTTACTAAATAAATAATTCCATTTATTAAAACTGGGTGGAACTGGATGCTTTTGACTGGTGTTCACTGCAACCACAAAACATTTGTAAAGCACTAATGAAAGTACACACATAAAAATGATGTGACATCACCAGGAGCAAATTTACTAGAAAGTGAAAAGAATAGCAAAAAAACACAAAACCAAACCCTGTGCGAGACCTGTGGCGTCTGTTCAGGTGTTACACATGTCAGTGTGGAATTTTAAATTGCTGTGGGCAATATTGCTCAAGCACATTTCTTATTACTGAGTATATTTAGAGTCCATAATGAGCTGTTTGACCAAGAGTTTTGGACACAAAGAAAAACTTGGTGTGTGGAACATAAATGTGTAATGAGAAAAGGGGAACGAAACAGAGAAAAGTCTATAACAACGATGTGGACAAAACATAAGAAAACTTATGAAAACTTCAGAAGTAAGATTTGTTTAGAAGAAGCAAATGTAATATGTGGGTGTGTTGTCCTTCATGCAAACAACACTGAATAAAAATTTACATGTTTGTTTGCACCAGAATAAATGAGGTAGAAAGGTTTGTGATTTGTTATGCTCTGAAGAAAACCACAGTGGCAGTAAAGTGACAATAGCTGGGATTATTTTCCAAAGCCATGAGTGGGAGAAATTATATTTGCATCTCCATTGGTAAGTCAATTTACAGTATCTTCAGTTACACTTGATTTAATTCATTTTAAACCTTGGAAAAAACCCTCAAAATCATTATCATATACAAAAATGATGATAATACTTTGAGTAGTAGCATAGTGCTCTTTTACTTAAATCTTGGTCTACGCAAAGTCTTGAGGCAACATTTTGGACAGAGGTGGTATAAAAATATCTTAAAGTCTTAAAAACAACAGTGAGATACTTGAGAACTTGTTGTCAGATCTGGAATAATAGCTATTCAAGCGAGGATTAATCGGAATTATCAATCAGTGTAGCTTCAGGTGTCTTTCAAACACATTTAGACTTAACATGTTTCTGGTTTTGATGATTCCTTGTTTTTATATCCACTCCGTTAATTTAATTAAGTTGTATTGCTTGTTACATCAACAGTCACTCAGCAGAGATGTTGTTGAGTATGCTGTTCCCTTTAAAATTCCCATTTTTACACAATTTCAAACACTACAGTTAAAAATGAATATGATATAAATTATACTTTACATTTTTTAAGTCAAACTCTTTACATTAACAGTGATTTCCTTCATGATGATATCTAGAGCGCTGACAGGTAAACTTTTTCCTCACTTCCCTCAAAACAATCTTTAAAAAAATAGAGAATAATTCATAATACTAACAATTTTTTTTTTATATTAAGGTTATCTTTTCCATAACCTGGCACTGAACCAAAAGGCTATCCAGTCCTCGGTTGGTGACAGCGTGGGTATTGCTGGCAAAGCAGTTGATGGGAGAAGAGAATCAAGATATCAGTTAGGGTCCTGTACACTCACCAAGTCAGAATCTGATCCCTGGTGGAGGGTAGACCTGGTAAATGTGTATACAATTGGTGCTGTAATAATAACCAATAGAGCAGAACTGGAAAACGGACTGGATGGTGCTGAAATCTGGATTGGAAAGTCCGCAGCGATCAATGACATTGAAAGCATGAGGTGAAACAGCTTGAAGCAGACAGATAAAATACATGAGCAATCATTATTTCAGTAGCATATTGTCCCTTCTTATTTTTTTCTTCTTTTTGGCTTTCTCATACACAGATGTGCTGTCATCTCTCATATTCCCAGTGGACAGACATACTACTTTCCATGTAGCTCCATGGAGGGACGCTACGTCACTGTGTTTCTACCAGGAAGTGAAAATGTCCTTAGCATCTGCGAGGTTGAAGTTTACTATGGTAATAACATTTCAGCCTGATGCTGATACACAAGTCTGAGGCCTTGATTGTTCAAGTTGTTGTTAATTTTCCAAATGGCCCACCTCTCAACACAAATTAATCATTCTTGTTGTTTTGTATAGTTAAAGGTCTTTGAGCCAGAATGACAGCCAAGTGTGGTCTTCAAAATTACTGCACTCTGCACCTTCTGCAACAAATAATTAACTATTCACAATGATCTAATGTCTCTTTGTGGTTTTCCTTCAAGGATACCCATTACCCAATGTGGCACTCAAAGGAGAGGCTACCCAGTCATCTACACTCTCCTTTGCCACTGCGTCCAAAGCCATCGATGGCAGACGGAACTCGTTCTATAGCAATGGGTTCTGTAGCCACACGGCTGAAGACGAGACCGACCCCTGGTGGAGGGTGGACCTGCAGCGAAGCTTTACAATCACTGCTGTAAAAGTCACCAACAGAGGAGACTGCTGTGCTGAAAGACTGGATGGAGCTGAGATCAGAATAGGAAACTCACTGGAGAACAATGGAAACAATAATCCCAGGTAATTACAAGTGTTTCAATGTAAAGTGAGTTTTTAAGTATAACTGGAACAGTGATAAGTCAAAAGTTTACAAGATTCATTTTGTCCACCACATGGTGAACTAACATATAATAAGTGGATTTCCCAACCCTTTAACTGCAGTGCAACAAATTTAGGAATTTTAAGATCGATATAAACATCACAATACAGTGAGCTGCAATGTCTTTAAATTGCTGTCTTTCTCTCCAATTGTTGGTATTTTGTCTTATGTCTTCCCTTTCTTCTTTCCTCACCCCCAAACTGGTCTGGCCCATCCCCAGGTCTGATTCTGCTGAAGTTTGCGCCCCACTAAAAAAACATTTCCCCCTTCTTACCATTGCAAAGTGCTTGCTCACAGGGGGTTATTTGATTGTTAGGGTGATCACCCAAATACTATAGGGTGCTTTCCTTACAGTATATATAAATAAACCTGAATGAAATTAAACGTGTATATTTGCAGATTTAAAAATCTGACATTCTAAAAAATCTGATATTTGATATTTTGATATTTGATATTTTAATTTCCTTTTAAAAAAACAACACACATTCCCTAACATGTCTTATGTGTAGTTATTTGCTTGTTTGTGCTCTGTTGTTGTGTTTGCACTGTTCCAAATGTGCTGAAACCTTGCGTTACAATAGACTAGAATAGATGGAATACAGTAGCCCTTCATTGTCATTGTACATGTACAGCAGAATAAAATATAAATAGTAGACAGCAGAAATAAATAGCAACAGGAGAAATATATACAGTCAAGAGGGATATATACGAAACAAGAGACCTATATACAAAAATAGGAGACACATTAGAGAACAGTTGCAAATTGTTTGGATTAATTAATCACTAATTATGCAATGTGTAACATTCACAATAAGGTTAAAGGGTATTTCTTCACACTTGTTCGTTACTCTTTAAATTTTCATGTATTGGTTCTTATAAATGCCATAGAGATGTAAATAGCTTACATCGGTCAAACTAGCAAAGGAACCAATAAAAGCTTCTGTGATTTTTTGGGAAAACCTATGAAAACTTTCAAAAGGCTTGAAAATGCACTTTTCCCCTATGTTCTCAGTTACATTCTCTTCTTGAGAAAGTAATTATGTCAACTTAATATTTCCCCATCCATTGGTGTCAGGTGTGCTTCCATCTCACATATCAACGCGGGTAAAACCTACACATACCGGTGTGATGGAGGCAGCATGGAGGGTCGCTTTGTGAACGTGTTTCTTCCTGGACAGAAGAAGACTCTCACCCTGTGTGAAGTGGAGGTGTATGCTGCCTCAGCAGGTAGAGCTTTAAGTGACTGGATCTGATCTATGGAAACACATCTGCTTGATACTGATTCACTTGTTTGTTCCTTTCAACAATTTAGTGGAGCCGCTTCAAAATGTGGCCTTAAACAAACAAACAGTGCAGTCATCAACAGGGAATGCAGTTGGGATTCCCTTCAAAGGTGTCGATGGGTGCAGAACTGAATTCTGGGGTTATTCATGTTGTACCCACACTGGGACACAGCAGAATCCCTGGTGGAGAGTAGACTTATTGGCTGTCTATAAAGTCACTGCTGTCACCATCATCAACAGACAAGACTGTTGTTCTGAAAGACTTCTTGGGGCACAGATCCTGATTGGAGACTCACTGGAGCAGAATGGCAACACAAATTCCAGGTGAGACACGAGACTGATAGTAGAAAGGATTCAAAGGATCCAAACACACATGTAGAGGATGATGTTAACCAGAGCTTGGAGATAATAAATAAACAAGGCTCAAGGTTCAAGGTTCTTTATTTGTCACATGCATAGTTATACAAGTATTACACACAGTGAAATGTAGCCTGACACACTCCTCGACATGTGCAAAAATTGTGTGTGTGTGTGTGTGTGTGTGTGTGTGTGTGGGGGGGGGGGGGGGGGGGGGTAGAGGAAGATACATATGTGAATTCTGTACATTAATATGACATCTGACTATTTTACAGGATAGACAATATAAACATATTTAAAATTAAAGGAATTTGAAATGTACATTGTGCCTTGGTTTAGTGTCTGGAAGAGTCCTGACTCAGTCAATTATAGATGATGTGAGAGGGCGGGTGTGTGTGTTTAGGGCCCGGATGATGCGGAACCTTCTACCAGATTGCAGAAGTTGGAACAGTTTGTTGCCAGGATGGGACGGGGGGGAGCAATCCTGCAGCAGCTTTCTGCTGTATGGATCACTCTCTGGAGAGCTTTTTGGTCCTTCACACAGCTGTTCCCAAACCACGATGTCATGTTCTGTGTGAGGATGCTCTCCACAGCACCTGTATAGAAAATCCTGAGGATCTTTGGAGAGACCCTGAACTTCCTCAGTTGTCGTAGGTGATACAGGCGCTGCCTAGCCTTTTTGGTCTGGACCTGAATGTGGGCAGCCCATGTCAGGTCTGAGGAGATGTGGACACCAAGGTACTTGAAGGACTGAACCAACAACTACAGGATATAAACTGAAAACACTCCCAATGTGCGACTTCTGTTATTTCCACCTGAAATATACATGTCATGCATATGACTGTAAAATAGCAAACCCCAAAAAGCACTAACTATTCAAAATACCAAACCAAAGAAAGTGGCTGCAAATGTAACTGCTGGCTCAGCAGCACCCAAAATCCTAGTGAAAAGGGTCTAGAGGGAAAAAATGATGATGATGATTTCACCTTGATGTTTGTGTAACACCATCAGGTGTGGCGTTCTGGAATCTTTAGCGGGTACACCAACATACACATTCCAGTGTAATGAAATGAAAGGTCGCTACATCAGTGTGATCATACCAGGATCTCCGAAAGTTCTGACGCTGTGTGAAGTGGAGGTGTTTGCTTCTCTGCCTGGTAAGGCCATAAGATTTCTTTCTAGCGGATCTGTTGCGGTCATGTGTGGATATATGACTGTTGGAAAATTACTTCCAAACGTAGAAACAGCTTTAACCTTTTAGTGTTTAGTGTTTTTTCATTTTCCACTACACAGTGGACAAATTGAACTTCTTTCTGGTTTTCAGTCTTCCCTTTTTAATTGGGTGCATAATGCAACGATACAGTTTACCCAGTTAAATTTTTTTTAAAAAGAGTCAAACATAGAACAAAACTATTTCTCTCCAGCACCAGAAGCCATCATTCCTTCACCGACACCTCCACCTCCTTCCAGCCCTCCTCCCACTGTGAGCCTGCAGCTTGGTGGCAGGAACGTGACGGTGGTGGGAGAGAGGCTCTGCTGGTCTGATGCTCTGATGCACTGTAGACGTTATTACTGGGATCTGCTCAGCCTTCACAGCCAACAGGAGCAAAGCGAGTTGGAGCAGCTGCTGAGCCTCGTTCCTTTCTCCCTCACAGACCATGTCTGGATGGGACTGCGCAGGTACTGATGAAATGAGATAATTAGTATTTTTAACAACCAAATTAATTAGCAAGAAATAATATAAATTAGCTGATTCTGTTTTGCTGACAACTGTCTTAATGTCAAGTAATAAGTAATCCACAGCTTATGTAGGATTGTCAGCTCAGAGCAAAATGACCACAAAAGAGCCACCACTAAAAAAACAAACAGTCATTAACAGAAATTATTGAACATCACCAAAAGAAAAAAACAGAATTACTCAAAATGAACAGACAATCAACAAAATAAGAAGCAACCAGGAGAACATGAAATTCAGAAGATGAAGAAATGGTAGGCAAAACCATACTTCAATCAGGCATAACATTAGGAACACTGACAGGTGTTCTTCATCATGGCACCTGTTAGTGGGTAGGATACCTTTTAAATATATTTTTTTAATATTTTGTCTTGTGTCCTAGCATCTCAGTGTTAAATACCACAACAAACCTTCAGTGAAGTAATCCAACAGCCACCAAAACTTTAACATTAAACGAGAACCAGAACCGAGATACTACTACAAGAACCACATCTCAACATAAAACGACAGTGATATCAAAACAGGAATTGAAAACACAAACAACTGCAAGCTCACTCACAGAAACACAGAATGCATCGATCCAATCTGCTCTATTACTCAGATCTAAGCTTGCTGTGAAATATTTCAAGGATTCAAGGAGCTTTATTGTCAAAAACATGTTAACATGATTTGGAATGAAATTATGTACACACGGTCCTGGAGTGAAAAGAAACAAAATAATGAAGAAACAGATTTTTTTTGTAAGTAAAGCTCTAAATTTAAATAGTGTTCGGTGCTCCAATTAAATGTTTGTGTGTGTATTTTACGTTTTCTGCGAAATGCGCTTCACCTATTTTGTGTAACACTAGGAATATGCTAATGTATTTTCAAATGATGGATTTGTTTCAGAGTCAGGGCCATAATTCATGTTTAAGCTCATGCAGAATAGCTAGAGGCCAGATGCTCAAACCTGTTCTCTTTTCATACGCCGTGACAATTTGAATTTTGCAAATTCAGGCATTTTCAAAAGATGAGGTCATGACGTCTCAGGCTGTGCGTCCTTGTATTTGTTTGGATTGAAAAAAACATTTCAACGAATTTCTGATTCATCAGATCCCTCAGAGCAGACGAGTGGTTCTGGATGTCTGGATATTCCATGAATTTCTTAAATTGGCCACAGGATTTTGTTCCTGACAGCTACTCCAGCACCTGTGGAGGCGTGGCCAGCATGGACCACTTCCTCTGGCAGGACCAGCCCTGTGGAGAGAACCTCAACTTCATCTGCCAATCAGGTTTTACTTACACCACGTTAAAGCTTGTGCGCTATTATCGTACATTGCCTTAATTTAACTGTAACTCATGTTCTTTCAGGTGCTGACGATGCTGTGCAGAGAGTTCATTTCTACAGCACGAAGGATCCTATAAGTCCTTAGTAAAGGAGAACAATGTACTGTCTGATGGAATGGATACAAATACATATATCTGAAACCTTTTTGCACTCCTTTAGTTCTGTAAATTATACTACAGAAAAACTATAAGACGTTTCTGCACACAATACCATGTTTGCCTTTTTTTTTAACTTTATGATGCACTGCATGTAGCTACTATAGCACTGATTTCTATTTAAAATGCTGCTGGCTATTTCATAACTCATGCTCATAGCAAATGTACCTATGGAAAATGTGTGAGCTTATTACCCTGTAATGTACTCCTCCACATTTGCAGGGGTTGTGAATTCAGCCACATAAGTAACAGCCACATAAAATACAGATGACACCTGAGAAATGTAAAACTACAAATGTCATCAAAGTAATAAAAATTCATTAAAGCAACAGATACAGTTGTATGTTATGAAATTGTCTGATAGAAATGTTTCCAAAATATGCAGGTAGTCTCTGTTCAACCACCCTTACTGTTTTGTTTAATCCTAATTATACTTGCTAAAGTTCATTCTGTTCATCTGGACGTAGTGTTTCCAGTAGGAAACATTTCATCACTCATCCAAGTGACTTCTTCAGTCTCAGTTCTTCTGTGTTGTGTGGATGGCACATGACAGGAGAGCTAACTCGACAGGCCAGGACTCCACACCTACAGGCCAGTGGACACTCTTTCAATGATGAGGATGTATCCCGGACAGGGAGGAGGCTGGTTTGAGAAGGGATGCAAGGAGGCCATTTACGTAAAAAGGGAAAGACCATCTCTGAATCGAGGAGGGGGCTTAAGGGTGCATCTTTCACCATCATGCAATGCTGTGATTGCAGCCATTCTCCAACTCTCTCTGAATGGTACTCATGACCATTGAGCAATGGTCAATGATCAGCCATCAGTGCTTGCTGATGATTAGTCAGGAGAATTTTGATGATCAAGGAACTGACCTCCCAGCCAATTGTTCCTTCAGTGGGCTGGTTTCAGTCATTATAAAAATGTACTGTTTATAAGATTGGGGAAACCTGCAGTCAGCTGAGACTGAAGAAGTCACTTGGATGAGTGACGAAATGTTTCTCCCACTGAAAACACTACGTCCAGATGAACAGAATTAATAACCCGGGTGATTGCACATGCATCAAGACATATACTTGTTAACACAACAAAATATTTGTGTGACTTCCTTTAAGGGGGAAATTGTCCGATTCACAAGCTAAAAACAATCTGGGGATAAAGTTAATTTAAAAAAGGGATAGAAAAAACAAACAAAAAACATGTTTTCAAATTGTTTGTGTATTAGTGTGAACACACATTTGTAAGTTCTCAACATTACAAATACAATGATATATATACATCAAAATCTTAGTTTTCAATTGTGGATACAGCATACACCATGCCATTAATATATTTCACTGAACAAAAATATAAACGCACCACATTTGTTTTTCCTGCCATTTTTCATGAGCTGAACTTTTTTCTACAGACACAAAAGACCCATTACTATCAAATATTGTTCACACATCTGTCTAAATCTGAGTTAGTGAGAACTTCTCCTTTGCCAAGATAATCCATCCCACCTCGCAGGTGTGGTATGTCAAGGTGCTGATTAGACAGCATGAATATTGCACAGATGTGCCTTAGGTTACGTTCACACTGCAGGTCTTAATGCTCAATTTCGATTTTTTGATCAAATACGATTTTTTTGTCTGCTTGTTCACACTATAAATAAAATGTGACAGCAAACGCGCTCTAGTGTGAACCCGCAAAAGAAGACGTCACACACAGCGCGCTCTGTTTAGACCCAGACCAAACAGTATTGTTTGACTGTTTCAGACTTTATGTTTCCCAATTTTGCTTTAAGTTATAAAGTTATTTTGTTATTTGCATATGGCCTAATAATTATCCTTATTGCTGTTTAAGAGAGGAGCGGTGCTTCAAAGGATAGTTCCAGATTTCTGTCAGAATCTGCAGATTATACAGTACAAATAAAATGTTCACGTTTCTCCAACGTTGTCTTCCCAACAGTTTCACTGACATCTACACTGGATGGCCAGGAAGTGTTCACAATGTCTTATCGGGTGCTTCTCCGGAGCTGATAATTGGCGTCTGTCTTGTGTCAGTGACATAAAAGATGGATTTCATGTGACATGACCATTCAAACAGCAGTCGCTTTCTAAAACATCAGATATGTATCGGATTCAGTACCACATACGCAAGAAACCCAGGTTGGATTTGAAAATATCGGATTTGTGTTGTTCAAACTGTCATACCATGATCGGATATGTGTCGCATAGGGTCAAAAATGATGATGTGCTTTCACCTGCAGTGTGAACGTAGGCCACTCTGAAATATGCAGTTTGATCACACAGCACAATGCTACAGATGTCGCAAAACCAGTCAGTATCTGGTGTGGCCACCATTTGCCTCACACAGTGCAACACATCTAATGGAGATGTGTTGTACTGTGTGAGGCAAATGGTGTGCAATGGGCATAGAGTTGATCAGGTTGTTGCTTGTGGGCTGTGGAATATTGGTCCACTCCTCTTCAATACTTGTGCAAAGTTGCTGAATATTGGCAGGAACTGGAACACACTGTCATATACGCCGAGCCGAGCATCCCAAACATGCTCAATGGGTGACATGTCTGGTGAGTATGCTGGCAATGCAACAACTGGGATGTTTTCAGCTTCCAAGGAATTGTGTACAGATCCTTGCAATATGGGGCCGTGCATTATCATGCTGTAACATGAGGTTATGGTCATGGATAAATGACACAGCAATGGTCCTCAGGATCTCAACACGGTATCTCTGTGCATTCAAAATGGCAACAACAAAATGCACTCATGTTCATTGTCCATAACCCCACCGCCACCATGGGCCACTCAATCCACAATGTTGACGTCAGCAAACCGCTCACCTACACGATGCCACAAAAGCTGTCTGCCATCTGCCCTGAACAGTAAAAACATCTATCAACAGAGCACCTCTCCAACATGCCAGACACCATCGAATGTGAGCATTTGCCCACTCAAGTTGGTTACAGTGACGAACTGTAGTCAGGTCCAGACCCCGATGAGAATGACGAGCATGCAGATGAGCTTCCCTGAGACAGTTTCTGACAGTTTTTGCAGAAATTTTTTGGTTGTGCAAACCGTTTGTTGCTGCAGCTGTCTGGGTGGCTGGTCTCCACCTGGTCGACCTTCCTGGAGGTGAACATGCTGATGTGGAGGTCCTGGGCTGGTGTGGTTACATGTGATCTGCGATTGTGAGGCCGGTTGGATGTACTGCCAAATTCTCTGAAACTCCTTTGAAGACGGCTTGTGGCAGAGAAATGAACATTCATTTCATGGGCAATAGTTCTGGTAGACATTCGTGCAGTCAGCATGCCAATAATAATAATAATAATAATGGAATGCATTTATATAGAGCTTTTCTAGGCACCCAAAGCGCTTTAAAATTCCACTATTCATTCACTCTCACATTCACACACAATTGCACACTCCCTCAAAAGCTGCGACATCTGTAGCATTGTGCTGTGTGATCAAACTGCATATTTCAGAGTGGCCTTTTATTGTGGGCTGTCTAAGGCACATCTGTGCAATATTCATGCTGTCTAATCAGCACCTTGATGTGCCACACCTGTGAGGTGGGACGGATTATCTCAGCAAACGAGAAGTTCTCACTAACACAGATTTAGACAGATGTGTGAACAGTATTTGATAGTAAATGGTCCTTTGTCGCTTGTGATACTACTTAATGTTTACATCACTAATGTCTATGTCATTTCTGAGAAAACAATAAAACCCTTTCACAGATTTCAGATTCACAGATTTTGCAGAAACCACAGATATACAGTGCAATTTTTTATAACTCTTTTAGTGGCAATATATAACTTTGTGTTATGTGTTTTTAATGCTAAATTATTATTAACAACAATGTTTCTAAATAAATTTTAAATTTGAATTATATATAAATTATACTTTATATAAAAAATATTAATGTGAAGTCAACTAAATTTCCATATAAAATACAATATACATTTTTTTGTACAGTGCATCGCTACCTTATCATGGTGCAGCGATTTGCGTGTCCCAGGGATCCCAGCAGCTATGTTGTCAGGGGGTTGTTGCTGCCTGGGTGAGGGGCTACACAAAGAGCAATTAATAAGACCCTTATGTGTACGCAACAGGCAAGGGCGGAGACCCTGGCAGACCGATCTCCAGCTACCAAAGCTGGCGACTGGGACATAGAACATTACCTCTCTGGTGAGGTAGGAGCCTGGCTAGTGTGTGAGGTTGAGAGGTAATGGCTAGATATAGTCCAGCTCACCTCAACACATGGCTTGAGTTCTGGAACCAGTCTACTGCAGAGGGCCTGGACTCTGCCCCAGCCTGAAGTTGCCCTTGGTGAGAGGCGGTAGGCTGTAATGGGTATCTTGGTATCCCTCCGGCTTGCTACCTGTACACTGGAGTTTTCAGGTCAGAGAACGGGTCCTGACATCTGCATGTTTGTATCAAATGGTAGTTCAGAGTAGTAGAGAGTCCTTGGGTGGGGTGTTTGCCCCCTCAAGAATATTTGAGAGGGCAAAGTGTGGGAGTTTGCCCAACCAGTCTACATGTGTTTTGTGGACTTGGAGAAGTAATTTAACCCTTGGAGTGTTCTTGCGAACAGAAACTTTTGTGCTAGTGCAAGCAGCTAATAAATCTGACACTCTGAGATTTGGACTAATAATTTCTATCTATTTATTTATATATTTATTTGCCATTAAGGTCAACTTCTTTGAGGTCAAGGTCAAAGTCAAGGTCAAATTTATTTATATAGCACATTTCCAGTCAGGCAAGTGCTTAACAATATAAAAATGCCATTAAAAAGAGACAATGTAAAACAATAATAACAATATAAAACAATAAAAGAATTAAAACAATAACTAAGATTATTAAAATAAGACCAAAATGCTTGGGTCATAGTGTGTTAAAAGCCAGGGCATAGAAATGTGTCTTTAGTAGTG